CTGCACTAGCGGGAACATGCAAAGACTTTCCAAACAAGGAGGGCTGGAAAAAGCTCCATCCAATAAAGTTTTGCAAAAATCATTTTAACTTATGAAAAATATGATGGGGCCATTAAAGCAGGACTTGATTCTGTCACTGGAACATTTTGGCTTTCCAAGAAAAAAGAAACCCAAAGCAATCAAAATTGAGATTGCAAGTAGAAAAGTTAAGGTTTAAAGATTACAATCTGCTAGAGTAGAGGGCTGCTAAACTTCAGACTAAGGAACTTACTTTCAGTTCTTTGTGTCCCGCAGACAAAAGGCACCCATAGATATGAAAATAAGTATCATGTGTTGATCTAGACTTTGAAATAGATTTGGTATGGGAGGACACAAACACTGCTTCACCAGGAAGAGATCCATCCTGGTTGTGAAAACCATTTGACGAGCTCTACCTGCAGTGGGCTGTAGAGCCACTAAAACAGTAGCTGTACCTCGGTCACTTTAAAATCAGACTACCAGGACTCTCTTCAGAAACGTGGTCAGGTGTCCCCTGACATAAGTGTTTTTCTAAAGCCGTCAGATGAATTTAATGTGCTTCTTGGGCTGAGAACCACTGTGCGAGAGGAAAGCAACATTCTTTGTTAGTCACTGCAGCAACTTGTGTTGAAGTATTGGGCATTTCTACCTCCAACCTCCTCTTCCACCTAGAGACCCCCTCACTCTGAGAGCGGTGTGGTTCTTGTGGTCCTACCAAAATAGCTTCATGGGAACAGAGCCTGGTCTTTCTAACTCACTGCTACATCCGAGACCTAAAACAGAACCTGTACATAGTGAGCCAACGTTTATTAATACATTGTTGAATGACTGCCTGCCTGCCAGGAACCTTTAGAGTGCTTATTTGTTCTTTTGAATTCTTGGTCATTTTCTGTCCTTTGGTGTTTTTTTATGTGTGTATGTGGTTTTTTTTTCTTTTTTCAAGAGAAAGTGGGGTGTGGTGAATTTTTTAGTTCTTCACTGCTGTGAAGTACGGAGCTGGAACCAGCTGGACTCTGCTTGGAACACCAACTCCCTACCTACCCACCCATAAACCCTACAAAGCCCTGTGAAAGTTGGCACTTAGGGGTGTGGTCCTCAGCTAGGGTGCATAGCAGAATTACCTGCGGCCTTTTAAGATTACAGTCGTCTGTGCCCAGCTTAAAACCAACTGAATCAGAATCCACCAGAGTGGGATTTGGGCATGTGTGGTTTTAATAACTTTGGTCGTTACCTTCACTTGAGGGCAGTGGTTTTCAAAATACCTGAATCAGTAGCAGCAGCTTCACCTGTGAGCTTGTTAATGCAGATTATCAGCCCTCACCTGAGACCTCTGGAATCAGAACTCAGGGTGAGGCCCAGGAAGCCGAGTGGTTTAACAAGCCCACCAGGGCTTCTGATGCACACTTGAGTTTGAGAAGCTCTGCTTTAGGGCATCTCTTTGGGTCATAGCTGCTGCACAACAGAGAGTATTTTTTCCAAGCAGCAGTTTGGAGCAAGTGCCTAAGTGAACAGCACTTGATAATTTTCTACCTTTTGGCTCAGACCTGACCTCTTTTTCTCCTCCACTGTTGACACATTAATTCAGCAAGCCTGCTGGAAGGTCTCTCTGTGTCTGTTCTCTCCTAAGTCTCCCTGGAGCGTTTGCCCATTCTCTTCCTCTCCCAGGCAGGCACCTAGGCAGCCTTCAGGGCCCATCTTAAATTTTCAACTTCTTCCCTTTTTCAACTTCTTCCAGTAGAAAATGAGTGCCCATTGCATTCATTTTGGTCTGTCTTAATAGTTTTAGTATATGTTCTTTTTACCTACCATTTCCTTTGGGACCTTGAGCAAATAACCTCTCTGTTTCCTCATCTGTAATAGGGATTAATAATAAAATAATAATAGAGCTTACCTCAGGAGTGAGTCAATACTTGTTAAAGTGTTCAGAATAATACTCAAGTGTCAATTCTAAAAGTAATTTTTGTTCACAGCATTAAGTAATAGCTATATAATATTCTATAATAACAGAATAGTACATGGCACACAAATACTCAACAAATGTCAGCTTTTATCACTAACAATTTTAGGGCACTAAGCATTTTGCAATTTTTATAGTTGTCTTATCATTATCATTATTTTATACTTGTCCTTTATCTTCCCATTAGTCTTACAGCTCTTTGACAGCAGATCTTTTTCTTTCTCAACTCTGAATTTCTATATCTTACAAAGTACCTAACATAGGTTGAGTATCCCTAATCCAAAATGCTTCGGACCAGAAGTGTTTCAGATCTGGGTTTTTTTTTCGGATTTTGAAATATTTGCATATACATAATGAGGTATCTTGAGTAGGGGACCCAAGTCTAAACATACAATTCATTTATGTTTCATATACACCTTAGACACATAACCTGAAGGTAATTTTATTTTTCCCGTGGCGACGCTGAATGAACTGTGTTATACACCTACCTGCATTTTGACTGTGGCCATCACGTGAGGTCAGGTGTCCACTTGTGGCATCATGTTAGTGCTCAGAAAGTTTCAGATTTTAGAGCATTTTGGATTAGAGATGCTTAACTCAATAAATGTTTATGGAATTATACTGAAGCCTGCAGGCAGTGTAGGTCAAGAAGTCCAAAGGAACCCTCCCTGAGCACATTCCCCATCTCCCACTTCTTTGGGGTCGTGCCTTCAATCTCTGGCTTCTTGGTCATATTAGCCCTCCTCAAGGAACTGGAGGAAGCAAGTGGGTCTGGGTGCCCAACTCTTGAGTCCAGCAGACTATGCATTCAGCTTGGAATACTCCTCTTTCAGACTGAAAATTAGCCAATGTGGCTTAGACAGTTCTTCCTGTTTTTAATAACATTTTTAAGAGCAAATCTCTGAGCCATGTTTTCATGTCTTTGCCAAACACGTGAAATTCCTTTTTAACCAGTGTTGTCCTCCGGCAACAGTGGGTGGGGAGGGTAGGGAAATGGTACCTGGAGACCACAGTACTGTGGTCTTCTCATTACTGCATTGTAGCGGAATTAGGTTTTTAGGCATTGAAAATAGAGATGACACAAAGGTTGAGGATCCCAACTGCCTGGGGTTTTCTTGGTGCTTTATAAAGATGACCGTTCCTGTTAAAGGGGGACTTCTGTGGAGTCTGAGTTAAGAGCAGAGGTGTATGTGTAATTGCAGATGGTGGGTGGTGGCCTCCGTCGGATACCATCATTGTCAGAGCCCTAGTCCAGTCCCCATTTTGCCTCCTGGGACAACTTCTTTTTGAAACAATTTGATGCATTACATGAACATTCTGTATTTTTAATTCCTGGATTATTGCAAGCCTATGAGATTTTTCAATCTCAAATAAGTTTTTCCAAGTATGACCTTAATGTTTTACATTTCCATTATGTTTATGTTAGCTTTCTAATAAGTCAGCAGAGTTCACTGCGTTATAATGAAATGATGAACATGAACAGTGCTTTATAAGCTCTAAAATGCCTTTAACTTACATGCTGTCTTATAAGCCACTCCAGGATAAACTGGTCTCCCTGCTTCTAATATTGCCCCTCAGCAATAAGGGCACTTCAGCAAAAATGTGCCCTGACCTTGTCACTTAAAATAACCCCTCAGTGCCATTCCCTTGCCTACAGAAGAACGTCCAGGCTCCTTCCTTTGTCTAGGAGACTGTCTGTGTCCTCGCCACATTTCTTCTCTAGCCTCATCTGTTGCCCTTTCCCACCTCACATTTTCTGCTCTAATGATATCAGGTGGCCCATAGTTACCCACGTGGTGCATTCTGTTTCATGCCTTCATTAAGCCCTTGCTCAGGTGGTTCCTCTGCCTTTGGTGGTTCCAACACGTTCTCACCTGGCTTCCCCATTGAGACTCAGATTATCATTTATGCCACTATATTGACTGGAATTATATGTTCATGTATTTCTCTTTCTCAAACTAGACCATAAACTCTTGATTTTATTAATATTTACTAGCACATAGTAAGCAGGCAATAAGTTTTTTGATCAGGACCAAGAATTTGAAAAGATTTCAGCAACTAAAAGACAGACCATGGAACTTAACAGGAAGATAAAATTTAACGGGTATACTTGGATTTAAAACAAGCAAACAAGTCTCGCCCTAAGTATTGCGTACAAGGTGGGAGAAAGATGACTCACCACCATCAGTAGATCATGTAAAAAAAAGAAGAAGAAGAAGGGTCGTGGTTTCAGTTGACTTTATGCCTTATATGAGTCAACAGTGTGATGCAACTCCAGTAAGCTAGTGTTCAGAACAGGGAAAGTAACAGTCCTACTGGTCACACCATGCAGGAGAGTCATGACCCATTCTGTGGGCCTGCTTTAAGGGAGGGTGAGGCACGTCCAAAGGAAGGCATCTAGAGTAATGAGAGAAGGTGACCCTTGTCATATCGGGAAGGAAATAGGGGTGTTTCATCTGGAGAAGGCAGAGGGGGCACAATAATTATAATCAAATGCCTAAAGAGCTATCATTGAGAGCCTGAAAATGCAGAATTAGGTCAATGAGTAGAACTTTGTGACAATTAGATCTACTAACAATGGAATAAGCTGTCTCATGGGCTCCAGGTCACTGTAGGGTTCAGCCAGTAGCCTCTGGGAAGAGATGAGTAGAGAGACTCTGAGACCCTGGAAAAAATTTGGACTAGATGTCCTTTTCTCCTGGTCAACTTTGGGGCTCAGTGATTTAAGAGGTCACTGAGCTCATGTTTATTGGATGTTAGAGAGGACGGCCAGGAGTGCTTCTTCTGATGGTAATGCCTTTGTCCACCTGGGAGAAAAATTATGAATAATCTAAATAGAAATTGTTTCTGGGTCATATGTCTGAACCTTAGTGGGCTAGTCAGTTATTACGCTGTTTGTTTGAAATCTACTTAGGAAAGACATCGGATGGTTTCAGTGTATTTATAGCCTTCCATTCTCCCATGTCCTTTTGTGGAAAGTTGAATAAAGTGATTGCGCTTCTTTCCCTTATTTTTTGCTTTTTAGTTCTGGAGAGTCTTGGCTTCTGGGAGGAAGTCAGAGGGATTATCTCAGGATCAGAGCTGATAACAGGATTCCCCGGTACCTTCAAGATGCCAGGCCTGCCCCAGTACCTCCAGAGCCTCACCAGACTAGGCATTGCGGCATTGTGGGCAGTGGTGGCCAAGAATGGAGAGCAGACAAGGAATGTTCCCATCTCCTTCTCTCAGCTGTTAGAGTCTGCCTTCCCTGAAGTGCGCTCGCTGACACTGGAAGCCCTGTTGGACAGGTTCTCGTTAGCAGCCTCTGGATTAGGAGAGAAGGGACTGCCAGCCTTGCTGTGCAACATGGGAGAGAAGTTCTTGCTTTTGGCAATGAAGGAAAATCACCCAGAATGCTTCTGCAAGGTAAATTCTCTGATGATCATCCCCTTCCACTGCCCACATTCTTTGACAAGGCATGAGAATGGTAAAGTCATGAAGGCAAGATTGGGTTTGGGCTCTCCAGGGGGAATAGGAAGTAGATGCAGCATCCAGAGGATAAGGACTCGCTTTATATGGTGATTGGCATGGCTTTGTACATAAAAGGACACTAAGAAAAGCTTTTGATGATAGTGGTATTGATGGCAGAGATTAACCAAAGACAGAGCAAGCCACTCTGGGATGTTTAGGAAACAGATCATTGAAAATTAACTGTATGTGTCAGAGGAAGTCTTTGCTGACATGGCTATTTGGGAGCAGATGGCCACCTGGAAAGCATAATCAAAAAAAGGAGCCCTTCCCTAGGAATCTGGGCATTTAGCTCCAATCCCAAGTCACTGGGGGCCCTCTGGCTAGTCATTACTCTTCTCTGCCTCAGTTTCCTAAAGGTATGACAGGGCCAATAAGAAGTCAGTGGGAGCCTTTCAAAAGATAGACCCCTTTGTTGGTACAAGTGATTTTTATTTAGCATCTGGAGACTTTTCCCTGAGTATTTCTTTCTTTTTTCTTTCATGGACTTGGCTCACACAGATACTGAAAATTCTTCATCACATGGACCCCAATGAGTGGCTTCCCCAGACGGAGGACTGTGTCCATCTAACCCCAAAGGAGTTCTTAATTTGGACGATGGATATTGCTTCTAATGAAAGGTTTGCCCCCAGTGCTCCCTGTGCGCCCTTGGTAGGGTGTATGATTTCATCAGTCATTATGCAATGGACTTGCTCACAGTCCTAGCCTTGGGACTCAGGTCTTGGATTTTGTTCTAGGCCTCAGCCTAAGAGCTATGTTCTAAACTCAAGATGATGTCAGAGTTTCACACTAATAACCCAAAGGTAATCACTTCTGGAGGCATTTATATAACCAGGAGGTAGAGATTTCTGGTCTTCACATATGCGTGGATTATAGACTATCTGCAAAAACGATCTGTGTATAAAACATGTTTGATTTTATTTTTGTGTGGTTTTTTGTTTTGCTTTTTCTAGATCTGAAATTCAGAACGTAGCTTTGAGGCTTGCCTCCAAAGTGATTGCCCATCACATGCAGACACGTGCAGAGGTAAGACTGATTCTGTTCCCGTCTGGGGCCTGGGTTTTCATGCTCTTATTTACCCAGAAGGTGTCAGTAAAAGTGAACCGTCTCAGCAGGCAGAATCACTATGATGTGAATATGTAGCATCTACAAAATTATTGTTCGTGTTGGTTTTTTCACTTTGGATATAAATTGTGAAGACTTTTGAGCACCACCTTTCTTTTCTCTTGTTTTCAGCATTTTTGATTAGAGTCCATGAGGGTAACACAACCTCCCCCGAAACACACATATGCCCAAACCCCTTGTTTTTTCTCCATTTTTTTTAGCTAGACTCTTAATCTAAAGAGAATAAGCAAGTCAATTCCTACAATATTTAGGATTGCAACCTGGTGAACTAAGCATGAAAATATATTGCTAAGGCTTAAATGTTCCCCCAGAACACAGCCCAGCTGGCTCTGGATGGAGGCCCAGATGTGCCCCACCTGTTTTACATGTCCTTTATGGGTGAGGTGGAACTAAAATAAGAAAAACAGCTTCCTGGGAAGATGCCTTAAGACAAATACATGCATACTTAGGTGCATGTAACAGGTAGCACCATCACCGGATTATATTAATAAGTAGAAGACAGCCCATGCCACAGGAACATTACCAGAAGATCTTTATTACACCACCACATTGTGATAGTGGTGGCCTAACACTGTGCATGCTGAGTCCTTACAATAAACCTAGCCCTGAGATAGATACTGAAGGTACAAAGGTGAACAGAGACCAGAGGTGCAGTTTAAAGAAAGAAAGAAAGCATTAGATAATTACATTGAATGTTTTAGTAGGAAGGTATACAGGGGCTACAGGAACCCAGAGGGGGGATGGAGTGTTTGGAGGCTGAGGAAAACGTCATAGAGGAGGCTGTTAAGTTCAGAGAGCTTGGGGCTGGGCAGAGATAAAATTAGAGGGTGCGAATTAACAAGCAGATGAATGGTTTTCTTGGATCTGCCATTCAAAGGCAGGCCAGGGGACCAAACCTAGATCACTAGGAGATACAGAAAGCCAAAAAAAGGTCAGGTGGGGTGGGGGAAGTGTAGGAAAGATGATTTGCTAAAAATCTGTAGCCTAGAGAAAAATACACCAAGTTCTAAGAAAGTAGTCACAAGGCAGCCTAACAAGCCTGCCAAAGTCATCATTCTTATTTAAAGCTGTTTTTAACCAGTTGTCATGTGTATTTTAAATGGACTGCTTGATACTTGAATGAAGTGATATTTAATGAAACTTGAGAGTTTTCTAAGGAGAAAAAAATTAACAAAACTGTAGAGAAACACATAAAAGAAGTTCCTGGAGAAACCTGGGTTTCTTTCTACATTAGGAGTTAGCATCTTCCTCAGGGTCTAAGATGCTAATCAGTTCAGTTCTGTGGCTGCCCAGAGGTTATCAAAGGAATCAGTAGTCACATTTTGAACATTTAATGAGACTCAGTTGATAGGGGAAGTAAAGTACATCTGGAACAATACCCTTTCTAGAAGAAATGAAAAAACAGAATTTAAAACGATCCAGATGTCCATCAACTGATGAATGAGTAAACAAAATGTGGTATATCCATACAACGGAATGAAGTACTGACACATGCCACAGCACGGATGAACCTTGAAAACACTATGCTAAGCGAAAGAAACCTGTCACAAAAGATCACATATTGTATGATCCCATTTGTAGGAAATGTCCAGAATAGGCAAATTCATACAGACAAAAAGTAGATTAGCGGTTTTTAGGGCTGGGAGGATAGGGGAGTGATAGCTAAAGGGTGCACAGTTTGTGGTGATGAAAATTTTCTGAAATTGACTGTGGTGGTGATTACACATATCTATTAATATACCAGCATTCATTGAATGGTCCACTTTAACTGGGTGAATTTTATGATATGTGAACTATGTATCAGCAAAGCTGTTACTATTAAAAACAACAACCAGGCTTTGTTTTAACAATAGAATTAATTAGATGCTACTTTAAATGTTATAGCAGAAACTCATAAATACTGTGGCTTAAACCAGACAGAAGTGGTCCATGGTGGCTTGACAATGTTGAGCCATCAGGTTCTTCTTCTTTCCTCAACATGTGGATTCCATCTTATGGTCCCGGCTGGTTGCCCCAGCTCCCACTGTCTTGTCCTTGTTCAGCTAGCAGGAAGAGGAAACCTAGGAAGTGAAGATCATGGGCACTTCCTAAGGTGTGGCCTGAAAGTACACAGATACCACTTCTAGTGTTGTCCCACCAGTCAGAACTTAATAACATGTTACTTCCAGATGCAAGGGATGCTGGAAAATGTCGGTGCCCATGGGTCTAGCCAAAAATGGGGGGTTCCATTACTAAAGATAGGAGGAGTGTCTGGTTATTGGGGACTTTGAGTTATTATTGCTGCCAGTCTTTCCCCACAAGTTTGGTCTTTACTGGAGCTATCAGTTTTCCGGATGACCTGATTTGCATCAGAAAAGACTCAAGGAGCTTGCTCTCTAGTTACAGTGGCTCCATATTACTGAAAGACAAGTCAGATTTTCTTTGGGCTTTTTTATTTCTCCCTAGTTGGGATAGAAACACAACTGAAAAACAACTTTCTTCCCACTGAGGTAAGAGCTAATTTGCAGGCCCATTTGGGGTAGCTCATTCCTAACTCCATGTCAGCCCATGGTTGCATCTTTGAACTACTGATAGATACATTTCGTGCCTTCAGAACAGGGACTCGATAGCCCCCGAGCTGAAGCGGTGGGTTCAGTTGGTCGTCTTGTCCTGTGGAGACCATCTCCCCACAGAGTCTAGGCTGGCTGCTGCTGAAGTCCTCACCAGCATGACACCATTTTTCCTCACCAACCCCCATCCTGTACTTGGTAAGTATGCTGAGTGGAGAGTCCGCTGTACTAAACTCACTAAAAGCATGCATAGATATTCTAGCCTATAAAGAAGGGAAGATGGAAGATGTAATTGCCTTTGCATCTTTCAGACGATTCCTGCCCTCTTAGTTCATACTCTGATCGTTTTCACCAATAGCCTCTTAACCAGCCTCTTTTCTTTCAATCTTATCCCCTAAATCATTCTCCGCAAAGCTTCTAAAGAGCCTCTGTGGTCTTTCTGAAACGCAAATATCATCCTTTCAGTCCACTGATTAAAAGTTTTGTGTGGCTTCCTATTCCCTTCAAGATGAAATCTATTTTTTTCTTTACTCCACCTTCCTGAGATGGACAGGATAAAATCTAAACACCCTTTACCATGGCTCATAGGCCCTAGCCTTGTCAGCCACTGCTTGACTGACTTGTGTTTGTCTTTCAAGACTCAGCCTAACCGTCCCCGCTTCCAGGAAGCCTACTGCAGTAATCTAGGTGAGAAATGAACGGATCATTGTGAAGCCCCAGCAGCAAGGAAGGAGAGAGGACAGGCGAAAAGATGTTTAGAGAGTAGAATCAATAGGATTTGGTTGTGTTGAGGTTGAGGTGAAAGAAAGGTTCAGGATAACTCCCAGGCATCTGGCTTCAGTGACTAGATAGGCTGCTGGTTCCTGTCACTGAATTTGGTTTAAGTTGAAGATATCTTTGGGCTATAAAGGTGGAGATATTTTGAAATCAAATGGATGTACAGATCATAGCTGGTTTCCAGTAGGTTATACACCTCCATGTCTCTTTCCTCACCATCACCCTCATGCTGCAAGAGTAATAACCAGGAAGGGGCATCGTGTCTATGATATTTAAGAAACCAAGCTTGAGGAAATCCTAAGGAATTGAAAACATAGGAGTTTTGTTGTTTTGTTTTAATATTTATATTGTATTTTTTGTTTTGTTTTTAAGCAGTTTAATTAAAGGAAAACTGAGGACCTAAAGCCATGCTTCAATCCTGACCCTGTCCTCTCCTGCTGTGTGAATCCCATATTGTCATGCTATGATTCTCTTCCCATCTATTAGTGGAATTCTACTTTTGTTTACCTTTTCCATGCCCAGCCCTCAACAGTAAGACATGTTCCCTGCCTCCAAGGAGCTTTCAGTATAGTGTGGAGAATGGATTTATACAGTAAAGGAAATAATTTTTTTTCGATGGTGAGATTCAAATTTTAAATGTTATAGAAGTTCAGACCGGTGAAGTGTCTCATGTCCCTGTAGATCCCTGGGAAACAAAGTTTTCTTTGATATACTTTTACTTCTTTCTTCTTAGTGACTTCCAGGCATTTTTCTTTACACCCGAAAGGAGATTGAGAGGGAACCTTTTATGATTGTGATTTAATCATTGGACCCAGACGAGTAAGAACAAAGGCATATAAACTTTGGTCGAGCTTCTCCAGTAAGGTTAATATCATTTTGCAGCATGTTTTCTGGTGACTTTGATTACTCTAACCCTAGCTCATAACAGGCCAAATGTCTGTAGAATAACCTGGAATTCCTGTGTGAAATTGGGTCCTGGGCCAAAGCAATTGGTTCCTAGTTAATTGCTGATTCTGGTTATCGCATTACAGGAAATGAGGAAGGAGACCGACAGTGGCTGATGGCCTACAAGAACATGAAAAATAGGTACTGAAGAGGTAGAAACAGAGGACAAAAGTGCATGGGGACAAGTCAAGAGCAGAGCAAAGTCATTTAAGGAAAAAGAAAACCTGAAATGGACTAAAGAGGGAAGGATCTTAGGGGTATTAAGGACCATGTTAAAGAGGAAAATATCAAGAAAGGAAAATATTAAGCCCTAGAGAACAATTAGAAAGGATAGATCCTAAAAGACTGAGTAAAACATAAAGCCAGATATGCAACAAAAAGATGATAATGAAACCCCAAATGGAGCCGTGGCTGTTCTCGGTATGACTGACGTGTCAGTGACTCTGACACCAGTTCTCCATGCACAGATGAGGGAGCGGGGAGACAAAGGGGAGTTCTTAGCACAGGATGGTTTCCACGTTGAAAAGATAGGGATGCTGCGTGGTGGTCTTCCATGGTCCTCTATTAGTAGCCCTCCACAAGCCTCACCTGTACAACAGGTAGCCTTTCCGGGAAGCCCAGCTCACCTCTCACCTCCTCACGCAGTCTGTCTCAATTACAGCATCCACTGTGAGCTTTCCCTGTTGAGTCACAGCCACGCAGTTTCATTCTTGACGACTCATTGCCTTGTGTTCTTGACTTGACATTCCTTTCGATTGCTCAGAGGCAGATACTGTCCTTTCCTGTTCATCGTCCACGGCAGCACCTAGCACAGGCTGACTAGACAGAGTCAGTGCCCAGGGGTAATGCAGTCAGATTGTAGACCCCACATACAGGGGACATGGGCCAGTGCCTTAATCATGGGTCTTTCCCCTTTTTGATTCTTGCTTCCAAAGCATAATCTTGATTGATACTTTGCTTTCAGAATTTATAAGTTCAAACACTCAAATCAACACTAGGAGAGTTTCCCCAACACAATCTTAATGCATAAAGTTTCATTCTTGTGACTCATGACTCACTGGACACAGTGGGGCCCAGGGCATTTGTCAGCTGGGCAGCACCTTCCAGGGGCCTTGGCTGCCTCCAGAAAGCCTACTTCCCCACCCCCAAAAAAGACATTTCCAAATATTCCCCCTCAGGGCCTTCTCTTTTCCAGCATTTTTCCAGTCTTCCTACTTTGCTATTGCTCATACAGTGCTGCTCTCTTCTACCAGGGATTTGAAATAGTATTTGCACCTGCCTGTCAAGTGCATTCTAGTTAATTCGAATTCCTTTCGGTTTTCTTAGAGTTGCAGGATACGCTTACTCTCTGGAGGTGTGTCCTTACCCTCTTGCAGAGTGAGGAGCAAGCCGTCAGAGATGCAGCCACGGAAACCGTAACAACAGCCATGTCGCAAGAAAACACCTGCCAAGCAACAGGTATCTCGTTCTTATCCTTTCACATTGCCTTATTGCTCTAGGACAAGAGGATGGCAGACTTTTCTGTAAAGAGCCAGATAGTGAATATTTTAGGCTTTCTTGTCCATTTGGTCTCTGTCTCAACTCTGCCATTTTAGTGAGAAAGCAGCCATAAACAATAGGTAAACAAATGGACGTAACTTTGTTCCAATAAAACTTTATTTACAAAAACAGGTAGCTTCCCAGACTTGATCTGCTAGCCAAAGTTTGCTGACCCCTGCTCTAGGACATCCTAGAGAAAAACTGTTCTTGAAGGTAGAAATTTAATAAACAGTGTTTGGTCTTTTGCTAGTTACATTGTCATCCACTTTAAATAAGGCCAAGTCTCGATTATCTGTGTGGGTACATACCTTAGGAATTACGGATCCATCATTTTATTCCTACGTGAGTTTTTACATGTGACAGAAAGTGACACATGATTATGTGTAAGTTAAATTCCTCTTCTTTGTGCTTTGGCTCCTCATTTGGTGGCAATATTAACCCAGGAGGCAGGAGGAGAGTAGAAGGAAGAGCAGCTGAGATAAGTAGTTCTGAGCTCATATCCACAATATGAGCTCTTACAGCCCTCGGCCCTGGGACTATCTGTGTGTGATGGCAAATGGCAGCAGAAAGGAGCTCTGGCTGCGGGTACAAAATGAGCTTCTGGATGGAAAAGACAGGGGCAGGTGGAGTAGAAGCAAGGTCACACCTCTGGACAAGTGGCCATCTGCGAGAGTGACTGCGTTAGTGGACTTGGATTCCCTGTGCTTGGGGCTGGGTATCGGGAAACGTCTCTGGGTCAGCCAGCCCAGTGAGAAGCAAGAACACCATTTTGAGGCAAGAGGGTCACAAGCCAAGCAAAGAAGTTCGCCTTCATGGACCGCAGAATGAGAGAGGAAGTAGCCATACAGTGTTTGCAGCTGATGCAGGGCCCCTCATCCCTGTGGCTAGGGCAGGCGTATTGAGACCGAGCTTGGGACCGTGTTCCCTGGAAGCTTCCTTGAATGTGTGAACTTTCCATTATTTGAGTCCTCAGTCATAAAAATCTGTGTATGTTTCTCTGCCTATATGGAAGAAGCTAGTTTTTGAATAATCTCTCAGTGATAGTATGCCAGGGTGGGCTTAGCCAGGATCAGTTCTGTGTCTCGGCAGGAAAGTATTCTAATAGTGCTGCAAGGGATGTGCACGCTGGCTTCCCCCAGCCACCCGCTCCAGCCCCCAACCTGCCAGACTCCCCCACTGCCAAAAGTTCTGCCGTGAGTGATTCATTCCTTTTCTCAACTGCAGCCGTTCTTAGAAGGACACAGAGCGCACAGTGAATGTTCAGTAAATATGTGGTAGAAAATAATACTCGGTAGGTTTCTCTAGGACCTTCTCCACTAAGGATGGGAAAGATAATTTCATGGTGAAATCATAGGTGGAATTCTTCCTTCTTACTCTTTAATCTATAGTCTTTGCCCTACTACTTGTATTTCTTTCAAAAATTTTCCAAGTTCATTTATAGTAAAACCATATTCCCATGTTCTCCCTCCTTCCTGTTGAGCTTTTTCGTATGGAATAGAAATCAGTAATTATATATTGAGTGCCTTCTGCATGTAAAATCCCATGTCTGAGGCCTCTGATGGGATAAAATATGTAAAAAGTCTACTTATCTATTCTTTTATTCTTCATCCTGATCTAATAACAAGGATGTCAGGCATGAAAAATACAAGAATTCTGTAACAACTAGATGTAGTTTGGTTGGATCAGATCCTATACCAGAGGGGAGAAAAGCCCTATAGGAAATTATTAGAACAACTCATAACATCAGAATATTGTCTGTAGATTAAAATCAATATTAGATTTCCTGAATTTGATAACTATCCTATGGTTTTGTAAGAGGATACTTTTATTCTTAGGAAATTCACACTGAAATATTTAGGAGTAAGGAGACATGACACCTGCAACTCACTCTCCAACGGTTCGGAAAAAAAACATATGTACATATAAATGTCAGACATAAATGTAAAGTTGCTATCCTTGTATCTTTTCTGTATGTTTGAAATTATATCAAGATAAAACGTTTTTTAAAAATCCAATTCACGGCCGGGCGCGGTGGCTCACGCCTGTAATCCTAGCTCTCTGGGAGGCCGAGGCGGGCGGATTGTTTGAGCTCAGGAGTTCGAGACCAGCCTGAGCAAGAGCGAGACCCCCGTCTCTACTAAAATTAGAAAGAAATTAATTGGACAACTAAAAATATATAGAAAAAATTAGCCAGGCATGGTGGCGCATGCCTGTAGTCCCAGCTACTCGGGAGGCTGAGGCAGGAGGATTGCTTGAGCCCAGGAGTTTGAGGTTGCTGTGAGCTAGGATGACGCCACGGCACTCTAGCCCGGGCAACACAGTGAGACTCTGTCTCAAAAAAAAAAAAAAAAAAATCCAATTCACAACTAGAAAACACCAATACAGTAAATACTGATAGACCACCTGATTGGTTTATCAATAAATAACTCAGCTCCCAGAGTGACTTCTTTCTCCTATATCATATTAAAACATCTTGCTTCTCCCTTTTTTTAAAACTCATTCTGAGTTAATTTTTGTATCCAAAAAAATCAAATTCAAGCCAGATTCCTCAAATTCAAAGATCTTAGCAACGTGTGGTGGCATTCATTCAGACTAAGCAGCACTTCCCCGTGTACTCTCTGTTCTGCGTGATTAGTGATATTTAGAACCTCTGTGATACAGCTTAATTTTCTAATGCATAAAATACATATCTTTTTGCTTTAGACTGAAAGGTAACTATGGACTGAGAATCACCCCCTGAGTTTTTGCTTCAGTCAGAAGTCAGGCAGTTGATTCGTCAGAGCAATACTGTCTTGTTTTAACATCTCTCAAGGGTATGAAGCAGCTGATGGTAACTTTTCACATTCCTTCATCTTACGAGGATTTTGTAGACAACATTGCTGATATTTTTCTCTTTGATGTTCCAAGTTAATTATTAATTAATTCACCATTGACTCTTGAATACCTTAAAAAATACATGTTGTTTATTTGTCCCTAAATCAGTGGTTTAATAAATGCCACAGTAAAATAATATTATTAAATTATGTTAATATTTAATATCTTCTTTGAGAAGTTAAAATTACAATAAAAAAATTAAAATCAATGTGCTATTTTCCTCTAAAGAAAGAAACAACAACAAGAACTCCATGCCTCTGTGATCTTATGCTGTCAGCGAGGGCTGCAGGCAGAAAGAGCTTTGCTCTCAGAGCCTCACAGCCTGCTGGAGGAACGTGGGAAATACAAGGTGCATTCTGACTGTGGGGCCTAGGAAGGGTCTTGAGAGTAGCGCTGGCCCAAAGGAAGGAAGAGATGCAGCACAAATGATAGCAGAACATTCAACGTGGAAGGAAAAGCTGGAGCCAAGACCTGGAGTAGGGGGGAACTTGGTAGCTCATTGAGCAGCAGCAAGTGGACTTGTGTGGTTAGAACACAGTCTGGGGCCAGGCAAGGGAGAGGAGCAGGAGCTAAACCTAGAAAGGCAGGGGGCCCACATGATGAATGCCAAGCGACCAACTTTTTTCTATCGGTGACGGGAGGCTGGAGAGGGTTTAAAACAGGAGAGTTATGTTACCAGAAACGTGTTTGAGGAGTCTCTCTGGCAGCAGAGTGTGAGATGGACCAGGGCTGGAGCTGAGTAAGAGGGATCGAGAGGCAGGGAGGCCGTCTTGGGGCTTGTCCTCATGAGCCGCCATCAGTGCTGGTGGGACGAAGAGGAGAGAATTGACTTGTGAGAGTGTCGCGGGTAGAATCAGCAGGGAGCTGCTGCTTGTGGGAGGTGAGAGACAAGGGAAAGTTTGAGATGCCTTCAAGGTTTCCAGCCTAGGAGGTATCCAGGGGAAATACCTAGACATGCCTCTGGCACTGATGTAGAACCTGGGCTGTGGCTTTCCAGGAAGTGAAACTGCCGAGAATTGGGAAGGCACTCAGAGGCCACAAGTCATTGTGATCTAGGACAAAGTTTTCCTTAGGCCTTGGAAAGATCAGCAGTGGAAACTGAGAAGGCAAAAGGAGACCTTTATCTTGTATGGGAACAGAAAGATCTGTCCGGGCCCGGCCCTGCCCTCTCCAGAACGTTACAGCTATCTTGGGAGCTCCAGTGTTCCTGGACAGGGTAGTTACTGGTCCTGTGGGCGCTGTCTAGAACCTGTAAAAGAAGAGGCAAGCATTAAATCTGGTCATTCAGACCCTAGCCATATCGTTTTACACATGGTTGGCTTTAAGTGTAGGTTTGTGTTAGGAATTCCTTAATGATCCTAGAAGGCCTGGAGAAAGTAACTCAGTGCTTAGATGGCTCTCCCGGGAATGGATTCGTTCACCTTTTTTGCCTGCTGAGGTCTCCTGGTGTCCTCCTGCATGGGCTTCACCCCACAGGGGTCACTTGGAAGCACGAAACTCGCAGCCTATGAGCAACTCTCTCCATGCAGCACCTGAAGCTCCCTCAGGCCCTGCAAGTAAGTATGAGCTCCAGCAGCAGGAGCCTCTCTGCCCCTGCTTCCCACCCTACGCCCGCTACAGAGCCTGCAGAGGAGAACAGGAGAAATGGTGTTTCTAGGACTCAAGAGTAGGGGATTGAAGTTTACAGCTGGAACAGGAAAGTATATGGGCCGGTCTCCAAGTGAGGCCCCACCTTTCTCCTTTCCTTGCTCTGACTTGATTTTTACCCTTGAAAGGCTCAGGAAAGAGCTCTAGTTCAAGAGCAGGAGATGTTCAGGGCCATCTCTGCAGCTCCCTGCCCTCTTCCCCTGAGCAGCTCACTCGTGTCTGTTTCACATACATCAGGATTTAATGTCAGATTTCGTTTGAACAAGGGCCTCCATGTGAGGGGGAAACATCCTGGACAATACTTAAATTTAAATCACTAAAGTTGGGTGATTCTCAAGTTAGGCAGACAGAGTTCTGGGTGAGAGTGGCAGGAGAGGAACCTATGATGGTACACTTAC